ATACCTTTAGGTCGTGTATTGAGCGTTCATGGCATATTCGAAACGGAATGACGAATCGCGCCACCGCCTGCATTCGTGCATTCTGGGTACTCAACATGGTTACCGAGGAGGATCGGCGGACACCGGATCTTTGGACCTACCCATTTGAGAGTATTGAAAACACCTCGGAAGACTTGGGATCCATTGAATTTTGGACACGTCGGCCATTGAACCTGCGTTACCAAGTTGCACCAATTACATCATGGACTCTCCGGTTCATTGCAGCGCATAATCTCCCTGAGGCAATGCTAAAAATCGTTCTCGTGCATTTCAATCCCGATTCCAACCCCGGCGGAGATCAAGCAATCTTCGCAGACTTTTTGTTTTGTCTCAACTCGTTTTTTTTGCGCACTACGGCCCGGGATTGCACTGTTCTGAACAAGAGGTAAGAGAAATAGTCAGTCATATACTCAGTTCTCATTTGATTGTCTTTAGTGCATACACAACGTTGCTCATGGCACTGTTGTTTGAGAACCTGGTCAGGCGCCTAGAAGACGTACAGCCATTGGATGACAGCATTGCAAACGAGATCGTCATCAAGGTTTCCCAGATTGCCGACAGAATATTCTTCCGAGAAGAGGCTTCTGAAGAGGCTTCTGAAGAAGGCCCCATGTATCGATGCACCAATGCTGCATACCGCTTTTGTGCCAAGCCTGGCGTCTCGCAAGAGGCAATAACCGCTGCACTCCGACTCGTGAGAATCTCCGGCCCATGGGAGCTTGGAGACCTCCATTCCAATCCGCAAGCCCTTTCAGCAGACAGCGATACCACATGGCTGTCCAAAACCTTAGAATATGTTCCCACTTTGCGCGCCCATTTCGATCTCGCTCAGGACTTGTGGCAAACACTTTTTCTTCTGCCGTCTGCTCGAGACAGGCTGTCTGCGAAATCCATTCCTGTTCTCCTATCTGTGCTATCAACGGACCCGGAGGACCCCGTTTTTGACGGCCAGGAAAAGGCAGCAGAGATGATCGCATACTGCGCCTGTGGTTTCTTAAACACAGCAGATCATTGGTTTGCTGACAATGATCTGCGTCCATTATTAGAACGTCGCCAGGTTTGGGCCAATCTCGGCGCGCGGGAGCAGATAACCCATTTTACACCAGCCTTGGGGAAAAACTATCCAGGGACGTGCAGTGGAGACACATCATCTCAGACGATCTACCTGGATGGCTCCAGCATTGGCCCTCAATCACAGAATCCACGCACTTGTTTACCGACGAACACCGCGCAAAATTTCGGGCTGTTCTTTGTCGCGTGTGGGATGCAGATGAGACCGAAGCCGAAGACTTTGACGAGGAAGCAACCCTCGTCATGGTGTTCAGTGTATTGGCCAAGGCATGGAATGAGGTTCATTTCACAGACACGGGGGCAAGTCAAATTGGCGAATATATAAACCTTCTCGACATCACAGTTCAGGTGGCATTTTCGGTTCGGATTCGACTGTACCAGCAAATACGCATTCCATCGCAACGATTTAAAGACACTATTATGATTCGGCTTGCAGATGCCCTTACACGAGCAGCAGAACAGGCGAAGCACGAATCGGGCAATGAACTCGTCGCAGAGCAGCATCTCATGAATAACATGGCCAGGCTTGCAGACCTCCTTTCAAGACTGGCGTCAACGCTCCAGGGCGTGCTCATGAACCCACAGCACGTTGATACGCTGACTGAGGTGGACTATTGGGTGGGTTTATATCGCCCATGGCAACAGGATGTACTTGAGTTGCGCGAGACGTCTAAAAAGTCGACGGGGTTAATTGTGCAAGAATTTGATGGAGGTACAATGGAAATCGGTTAAGAGTTTTAATATCTCGTCCTCTACATTAATCTATTACTTCCTGATTCGATCCCGAGTGTATGGTGCACATAATCCTGCTTTTATGTAACTTAGACGAGGTCATTCTAGTAAGTATCACCTCACTCGTCTTGATTTTTCCACATTAGGGACTGGCACAGAAAGTTGCTGTCCTTTATGGGCTCTTGGTGTGAGTAGGTGTAAGTAGCTATGCGGAATAACCATAAAGTTTGAGCCCTTTGGCGAGCAGCAGGAACGTGCCGTGCTCTCCATTAAGTATCTGTATTGATCTGAGTACTATCATGTGAAAATTCGCCGCCAACAAGCAGAAATATGAGTGGGGCATTGTTGGGTTAGATACAGAAAACACTCACAAAAAATGTGCGAAAGTGTTCCCGGTACTCGGCGCTTCGGGAGCTGCAGCTCGAGGAGGGGCACGGAATGATCGGATCAATCCTCAATCGGTGATCGGTGTTGGCCATTTTGTGGTCATTTGATGCACTTCAAGTTTTCCTCGGGTCTAGCGCCAAAGCTTCGTCCGAACTCTGCCTCCAGCGACAGTTAAGTGAGAAACGATAGACAGTTTTCGATTTCCTGCACAACTTCAACAAAGTTCAGCCATGTTCGGCATGTTCTAAATTTATTGGTTGTGGAGCCTCAATCTCTCTGCCATCGCCAATAGCACTCCACTCCCTCCTCTCGACTACCATGCCAGGCAATCGACGCCATATACCCCCGCTCAAAAACAACTGGTTGTTATCATCAAACATGCCACCGTCGAGGGCTGTGTTGATGCCCAGCGACGACGAGTTGTTGGTTGGTAGGACCAGGGAAACGGCCGAGGGTGAGCAGATAAGCGGTGTAAGGAGGGGCGTGCTGGTTTCTTGGATCGTTGTACGCCATGGTAGTTGTGGTTCAAAGTTGGCTGAAAACCATCTGCAAGTGGCTGGGCCACATAGTATAAGGCCATCTGCCACTCCGCAATACAGAGACCCCGTCAATGGTACAGATATTGCGTCAACAGTACAGACAATACAGACCATCTGTCATAAAGCTTAATTTCTCAGACCTGAATGAACTAAATGGGACTTGGCCGAAGTTGGCCGAAGTTATGCTGGAAATTGAAAACTGTCTATCATTTCTCACTTAGCTGGAAGCCTCGACCCAAATTTGACCCAACTTTAACTCGAAACTCCTCTGTCATGCTATAGAGCAGCCACGCAAATGCGAAGTAAAATGCATGGAGCAAAGACACGCAATCGATTGACGACCGCATAAGGTAGCGATTTGCTCCCATAATTCGGGAGGAACATCCAGAAGGTGGTGCGAAATGGGTCCAGTATTTGTGACCCTTGTGTTGTCTCCCACAGTGAGCCAAAACTCGGCGGCGGAACAAAGACGATAACAGTACCTCGACGCCCTGTTTCGGTGGTTCTTTCGGGAGGCGATAAGCCTTGGAGAGCGCTGTGAGTTGAACAATTACCTTTGACATTATGGTGAAGAGAGAAGAGCAAGTGTTAGGGGTTGTTTTGATTCGAGTCCCCCCCTTTTTTCCTGCATCTGGGCAATCCCTGGCGCGTTACCCAGTTCTCGCTGTACTTACTAGATGTGAAAACGAATCAATTTAAGACAAAGGTTTTTCAACGTTATCGATGGCCTGCTATCTGTCTCCCCCACCTTTGGAGACCGTCTCTGAGATCTCCAGGTCTGTTACCTGCTCTGTGATTTCCGGACCTCGGACACGGCCACCACTGATCAGGCCCCAGGAGTTGATAATAATAGTATAAAAAGCGCTCGCGATGGAGTGCATCATACAAGTCATGTTTTATCTTTCCCCCTGTAACCTGCTCCCGTTGGCTTAAGCCAACCATGTTCCAGCGGCAAGTTAGCTTAATCCGTTTAAGCGGATTAAACCTTGATATAAATACAATACAATGCATACACTATTGAATGACACTACCAGCACCTCCTTAAGCTGTTTAAACCATTTGAACCAATTCAACTAGTACTACCCTCCACCGTTTCAACCGATTAATTCCAGGCTTCGAGCTGTTGTTTAAGCCTTTTGAGCCTCGTTCAGCTGTTCAGCGATCTAAATCATTCAAGCGGTTTAAATGTGTCCGCCGCGGGGAATGCTGAGCACGGATCGATCACAAGCACCAGGGCACACACCTTGGGACCTTACCCCGTCGCCGGCGCTGTCATTTTGGGAATGATGAGCATAAATTCAATCGGAAGATGCAGGGCACGTACCATGAACCCTTATAGGAATGAACGAGGCTCCTACGACTCGCAGGACTGTTGGAGCGAGCCAGATCTTAGTATAGCATGAGATTACTGAGAGGTAGGAATATTGTAGCAGGATTAGTCCCTCATACTTAAGCCACTGACACAAGCTCATGTGAAACGATGAGTATGAAGATAGCAGGAGGGATAAGATATAACCTGCAGTTTTGAGGTCAATGGGCAGGCTTAGCACAAATTTTGGGGCTTGCGGTGCGAAGTTCAAAACCACAGAGTGAGATCCTTTATTCCAACCTCTGAAATCTGGTGTTTTTGGTGGACAGCAAAGAGTAACAAAAAACGAGATCAAACGTTTATTCGGACACGGGGAGTCGAACCCCGGACTGCCTCTTACACATGTTGACCGCACAAGCAAAGAGGCGGTGTACCATGAATTCTCATTGCTCCTACACTCTTTCAACAAGTCAACATGTTTTCGATGGATCATATTTTTATATAAAAAAGGTTCCACAAGAGTTATTTATTCAGACACGGGGAGTCGAACCCCGGACTGCCTCTTAGACCCGCTGACGAGAACAAGAACAGAGGCCATGTACCATACACTGTGTCCGATTCCTGGCTGTTCATTACAACAGTGAATATGTTAGCCTCTTTTTCTGGTGGACGGGATGGAAGAGGAACAAAAAAGAACAAGGGAAATTTTTATTCGGACACGGGGAGTCAAACGCCGTACTGCCTCTTACACCTATTGAACACACAAGCAAAGAGGCGGTGTACCCTACAGTGCCTACACCATGTCCGAATTCCTTTTCATCCTACACTCTTCAACAAGTTAGCATTTTTGCATTTTTTTTTTTTTTTTGGTGGACAGGATAAATAAAAATAAAAATAAAAATAAAAGAGAACTGAACATCTTATTCGGACACGGGGAGTCGAACCCCGTACTGCCCCTAAATTCTCTTGGACCCGCCCATGGGCAGAGGCGGTGTACCCTACACCATGTCCGAATTCCTTTTCATCTTTCAACAAGTTAGCGTTTTTTTCTTTTTCTTTTGGTGGACAGGATGGAAAAAAAAAAAAAGAGAGGTGAACTTCAGGACCCCTGATAGTACCATGGGAGGCCAGGTCCCAAAAATCTCGAATCGGCCGATTCTTGTCCGGACAGGTTTCGCGATGACTTGGGGCATTTTTGTCCGGACGGGACCTAGCCGAGGTGACCAAAAAGGGTAATTTTGCGTTCCCACGACCTAGAAGTGCCCAAATTTTTCTACTGCTCCGTTTTCCGTGCTGATATGCGTTGATTTAGCATTTTCAAGCTTGTTTTGCACGAAAGACGCCGTTCTGGCCAAAATTTTGCTCAAGCCCAGCTTGCAAATGGCTGAGATTTTGGAAATTTTGTCCGGACAGGACCTGGCTTTTCTGCCGCCAACCCCCATTTTTGTCCGGCCAGGACCTGGGTTTCGAGGCCAAAATCTCAAATTTTTGTCCGGCCGTGGCCGAGGCCTCCCACAGTACTATCAGGGGTCCTTGAACTTCCTATTCGGACACGGGGAGTCGAGCCCCGTACTGCCCCTTAATGCTCTTGGAAACGCCCCAAGGGCAGAAGCGGTGTACCGTACACCATGTCCGCTTTCTTCTTCCACTCTTCAACAAGCGACCAAGTGAACATGTTTTCGGTGCACAAGAAGAAAAAAGAAAAAAAGAAAAAAAAAAGTGTTTTCGATCTTTGTATTCGGACACAGGGAATCGAACCCCGTACTGCCCCTTAATTCTCTTGGGCCCACCCCAAGGGTAGAAGCGGTGTGCCGTACACCATGTCCGAATTCCTTTTCATCTTACACTCTTCAACAAGTGAGCATGTTTCCACGCGCAAGATTCAAAAAAAAAACACGAGTCTTGTCTCATGGTATTCGGACACGGGGAGTCGAACCCCGGATCGCCTCTCTTAATCCTGTCCAGCCCACATCCAACGGCAGAGGCGGTGTACCATACACCATATCCGAGTTACTGTCTCTCCTAAACTCTTCAACAAATCATGGCATGTTTCCGGGCGAGGTTCAAAAAAAAAACAGAGTTTCACACAGCACATTCGGACACGGGGAGTCGAGCCCCGTACTGCCTCTTAATCCTTTTCACCACCAATGACGCAAGGAGAGAGGCGATGTACATTACACCATATCCGAATTCCTGTTTTTCCTAGGTTCTTGAACAAGTGAACGTGTTAACCCTGCAATTTTTTTCCCTTCCCTTCCCTTCCCTTCCTTTCCCCATGACGGTTCCGAATCCAAATAAATCAATCCAATCCAAATCACTGCTAGCATCCATCCATCCTAGGTATGTACAAACAAACACATTTACAACATCCGTTACACGAAAACAAGCCAAGCCAAGCGTCTCTATCCTACAATCCGGCGCGCCTTTACACTCCCCCCCTTGAATCAGGGTTTGAAAATACAACACAACAACCTTCTCCTCTTCCCTTCTTTCCTCTCCTCCGCCTTCCCGAGCGTCGAGGAAACGCTCGCGAACAAGAAAAGAGAGAGAATACCGGAGAGCGAATCACAACCAAGTAACCCCCTTCGACCTCGACCAATCCACTCCATTCTTTAGCTGCTCCAGCGTCAGGAAGATCAATATCGTCGTCGGCTGCAGACGCGACCACGCGGGTACCCATCCCTTTGAGAAACCAAATCGTCAGTGTCGGTGTTTTTCTTTTCTTTCTCTTTCCCCCTCTCCCTCAAAAAAAAAGAAGAAGAAAAAAACGGAAGAGAAACCACCCCGGGGATAAGAACAAGGGAAAGACGACGCACCTTGAACATGAACCCCGCCCCCTCGGTCTTCAACGCCGTCTTTATCGCCTCCACCGTCGAGCTCGAGCCGGGCCCGGAGGCGTTCATGATGCGCGACTTGAGCACGTCGGCGGGGGAGCAGACGGTGGTTGCTACCGTGCCCTGTTGCGAGTGAAGTGAAGTCAGCGTTGAGTTGAGTTGGTTAGGAATCGATATCAAGGGAAGGAAGGATAGGCGAAGGGAAAGAAGGAAAGGCGAAGGGAAGGAAGGGAATGGCTAGATGGAAGAGGGATGGGATGGGAGGGAAAAGAGGAAAGACGCACCGCCGCAAAACTCGCTGTAAAATGACACATGATGTTATCCTCGAAATACGCCGTCTTGAGGAGCTCGGCTTTGAAAAAGTCGTATCTGGGTGGAGCCGTCCGTTAGCATTTGGTTTGGTTTGATAGGTTGGATGAAAAGCAGGATGAATACAATAAATAATAAACAAACAAGAAGGGGAAAGGGTAGGAAACAAAAGGAGACAACGACAAAGACAAAGGGAGACGACGCACGAAGCCAGCTGACTCGCGTTCATCAAGATCGCGCGGAAGACGTTGGGGCCGACGCCGCGGGCGAGGGAGGAGGGGCCTTCTTCGCGGACCATCTGGATAACGAGGGAAGAGAATGAGTGTTAATGGAGGGGATAAAGGAAGAGAGACACGCACTCGAAACAAGGCATCGAAGCAGTTCTTGTAGTTGAACCGCTTCTCGGGGGGCTTTGCAAAGTCGCCTTGGAGGCGGACCATTACGATTTCTGTTCAAGACGAATCAGCGTTTGATCTTTGCAGAGCGAGGATAGGAGGAGACGCACCACCGGGGTTACCCACGAAGCCTGCGATACCGCCCGCTATTCATTCGCGCACACAAACTCATCGTCAGTACCATAGCATAATGAGGTGTGAATCCTGCGAGACGACCACGCACCCATACTCCCCGCCGCCGCCAACTTCCACGCCGGCGCGTCCTTCCCCGCCCCAAGCAGCTTCTTACTCTCATCGTACGCCCAGAAGCGACACATCGAGTAGGACATCTGGCGCATCCACGTGCCGGAGATGCCGTCGAAGAGCCCTCGGACGCCCGCGGTGCGGACGGTCTTTTGGAGGGAGGTGATCATGCGTTTGTCGCCCGAGGCCTGGAGGCGGACTTTGGTTAGGTCGAGGGGGCTGTGCGGCGGGTTAGTCGGCTAGTGAAGACACAGAGAGAAAGCAGGGAGGCTCACTGGGTGATGGACGCTGCTATCGTCGCAGCCACCCCTGACGAACGTGTCAGCACTCGCCAAGTACTCTGCGGAAGGCGGACGCACCACCAAGCCAGAATGGATAGGGCTGTTTCTTCGGTGTCTGGATCTGTGCAGGGGGAGACGGAGTGGATGCCATGGCGGTCGGTGTCTAACGGTCTGTCTGTCGGTGGTGGTCGTGTGAACAGCACCCGGTGTCTAATGCAGCGAGATGCCGGTCTAGCGTCTGTCTAATCGAGGGGAATCCGGGTATGCGCACACCGCGGGCGAGGACGGGCGGGATGGCGGAAGGGAAGGACGGAAGGAAGAAACAGGGAGCAGAGATGGATGGGTGGGCGTGGATATCAGAGAGGAGGGAAGGCGGACAGGATAGCAGTCACGGCAGCTGATCGACATGTGATGCAACGGGCTGCCGTGCCGGTTATTACCCCGCTTGCGTCATAGTTCGGGTAACACGCGCGGGGAATGCGGGGTTTTGGCCCTTGGGGTATACAAAGCGGAGGGTTGTGATATTCGTTTCAGTCATGAATTACAAGTCGACTTGGAACCAGAATGTCGAGCAGTTGAGTATTCGACTGGGTACTCCGATTTTATCCGAACGATTCCCACTCTGGAGTCTGATGGCGACTCATGTTCTGTTCAATCATCTTTCGTACGTGCTTCATGGTGATACGCGAGGGTACTCCAACTGCTTCCTCCTGCCTCCTGCCCTGTCTCTTGTGGGGCATTATGCGCCCGACACATAACCTTACGGCTGAACTTGAACCCATCGGACCGAATTCCCAAGCGTCCACACGCAGAATGCACGCGCTCTCAGATATCCGAGACCCCTCGAGACAGGACCCCTGACAGTACCATGGGAGGCCAGGTTCCAAAAATCTCGAATCGGCCGATTTTTGTCCGGACAGGTTTCGCGACGACTTGGGGCATTTTTGTCCGGACGGGACCTAGCCGAGGTCACCAAAAAGGGTAATTTAGATTTCCCACGACCTAGAAATGCCCAAAATGTTCTACCGCTCTGTTTTCCGTGCTGATATGTGTTGCTTTAGCATTTTCAAGCTCGTTTTGCACGAAAGACGCCGTTCTGGCCAAAATTTTACCCAAGCCCACCTTAAAAATGGGTGAGATTTCGGAAAATTTGTCCGGACAGGACCTGGCTTTTCCGCCGCCAACCCCCAATTTTTGTCCGGCCAGGACCTGGGTTTTGAGGCCAAAATCTCAATTTTTTGTCCGGCCGTGGCCCAGGCCTCCCAGGGTACTATCAGGGGTCCTCGAGACCCGCGCCTATCCGGCGATATCCGGATCTTCAGTCCATTCCGGAAATACCGATACCGCCGGCCGAGGTTGCCGTAGTCGGAGACAGCTCGGATAAGTAGCGTGGGAACAAACATGCACGTCCGTGAGTCTTATGTGAGTGCAGGTAGGGAGAAAAAAAAGAAACAAACAAAAGCGAATATAGGGACAAAAAACAAGGATCGATAATTCTAGCAGCATGCCTGAGGAGGGAGTCGAACCCTCGTCTCACACCAAATGCTGCAGCATCGAAATATGCACAGGGGCGACCTGCGCAGTCCACAGAGGCTTGCCTCTCTATGCTACTAACTCGGTTGTATAATGCCCGTGTTGAACATCTCCCACTTGAGTTTCCCAACCTGCTCTCAGAAAAAAAGAGATTCCTATATCGTCTGCACCTCATGCCTCTGAAGGGAATCGAACCCTCATCTCCACCAAATACAGATTGCAAACCCACAAGATAAGTACAAGAAGTGACTTCCATAGTCCACAGAGGCTTGAAAATGCCTCCCTCTTCTCTTGTATTAACCTACTGCCAGTACGGTCCTGTAGATGGATCTCAGAAATACATCAGGACCGGTCTTGGTCAGGCATCTCACTATTGAGGCTGAGTCTTCTGAGCAATGGCGAGGCGAGCCTCATCAAGTTGAATTTCAAGTTGGTTATGTGATTATCTTAGTCCACAGTGTGCGAAAAAAAAAAGAGCCTGGTGATACAAATTTCGTGGAATTATATCTTCATGGAGGGTGGGAGCTTGAGAAAAAAAGACGATGCAATTAGTCTTCATGCCTCTGGAGGGAATCGAACCCTCGTCTCACACCATAACCAGGGAACAACCCATGTATGTGTTGGTGGCGACTTCCCTAGTCCACACAGGCTTGTAAATTCCTCCCTCTGTTATCAAGTTAAATTCTTGGCATCAGTTTGTGGTGGGGTTGAGCATTTCAGGCATGGCAATCCAATCCTCATCAAGTCGAATTCTATGGTTATTTAGTTATCTGAGCGTACAGTGTGCGAAGAAAAGAGGGTGATGCAAATTTCGCGGATGTAGATATTACTTTCATGAAGGGAGGCAGCTTGAGAAAAAGGCTAACGAATCCTATATGCCTCGGGAGGGAGTTGAACCCTCGTCTCCCACCAAATGCTACGCAGCGGTTAGGAATGTATAGGGGGCGACTTGCGTAGTCCACAGAGGCTTGCCTCTCTATGATATCAACTTGGTCGTATGATGTCCGTACTGACCATTTCAGACTTGAGTTTCTCCACCAGCTCTCGACCTATGTAACTGTAACAACTCCAATTTGAGGTGGAGCCCATTTTGCGTCAAAAGCCAACCGGATTGTAAATATATAGAATGAAAAAAAAAAAAAATGTCTCGCCGATGTATGCCTGAGGAGGGAGTCGAACCCTCATTTCCTCGATATCCTGCTGGGTCTTCCGCAAGTATACGAGGCGACTTCTCTAGTCCACACAGGCTTGCTTCTCTCTCGTATTACCCCGCTTGTACCATTGCCTTATTTTCTTTGGTCATCTCGGACCTCACATCATTCATTTTCTGCCACATCTCTGAGCTTCTCGAACATCAACTTGAACAACCATCGACCCTGCCCCTGGTAACAGTAATCAACCCAATTTGTACCCA